AACCAAGTTTATATTTTTCTTAGGGTCCTCTGACCACAATGAATCTGCCAAAACAAATAACCTACCAAAACAAATTTTATATTTTTCTGATGAATATTTTAATTTTTATAATTATTTTATCAAAATAAGCATGACACATTTGAAAAATAGAGATCTCTGTCTAGAGATCTCCCCTGACCTTGGAAAAATCAGGGAAGACCCCTCATGAAAGAGAGAACCAAAGCCTCAAAATCAAGTCATGGTGAAATGTCCATGCAAATTGAGAATCCAAATAAGAAGAACACCATTTAATTAATTAAAAATCATACATGCATCGAACAGACATGAAACCATTTTCACATTATTCTCCTATGTTCACTGAGCAAAAGGGTATTTTTATTTTATTTTTGTGATTTTTCTACACCAAGATATGAATTTTTAAGATTCTGGCCATTAAATAAATAAAGAAAATCCCTATTTTTCTATTTAAACCACGTGGCGCCACGCAATCCTCGACGTCTTCAAACTTTCCACGTGGTGTCTTCTTGTTCGGCGCCGCCAGACACCTCAACGCTGAGTCGACCCGCCTTTTTGTTCCGCTTCTCCGTCCGGCTTGATCTCATTCGTCTGTCCAATACACGTGCAAACGGACGATATCTATTCATCATCCCCAAATCTCTGGCCCGAGAACCGTCCAACTTCAAACTTTACAACCAAAATAAGTGAGGTTTCTTCCTATCGACTCGTCTCGACCAGGAGAACATATCCATACGATTAATCAAGTCGATAAAAATGGAGAATTAAAATAGGCTCGGTTTAAGGAGCGAGTTCGATACCTTTGCCCAAGAGATGTGGCCTCGATTGAGCGCTTACAAAAGCTTGCCTTGAGTCCAAAGAGCTCCTAGATGAAGCCTCGAGCTGTGGTGAAATGCCTAGATATGAAATTGATCAAGGCCGATTTAGGGTATTGATCAAAGTCTACCCTAGGGTTGTCTGGTAATGGGGCTTCTATGGAGATCTTCTTCTCTCACTCAGGGAATGGTGTGGGTGCAATTAATTTGACTTTGGTGGAGTCTAGAGGGATGTCCTGTTTTGGGCTTGATTTTGAGCTCCAAAATTAATTGCGCTCCGTCAGTGGGTGTGAGGGCTTGAGGATGGTTGGATTGAACTCAATGAGTCTTGAAGAAGCTCTGTGATCAATTTGACAGAGTTTCCACAATGAATTTTAAGCTCTCTCCCCTTGGTCGTTGAGGGTGAGTTTAAATAGAGGGGCTTGGGGTGGTTGTCATGGCTATTCAATGGGTAGAGAATGGTGCTTAGGTGGAGGGAAGAAGAGGGCAACAATCCAATTGGAATGAGCCAGCTTGGTTGGGTTTAATTTTGAGTTTTAGCCACGGTGGAGCTTTTGGATTTGGGTTTTCCGGCAGCGAAGGTGGCCGGCCAGGTTCAAGTCACCATCTAACTCAAGGAGGTCAGGGCTTGGTTTTAGTGAAGTCACTTGGGGTTGACCATGTGTAAAGGTGTTGAATTAAAATAGGATGGGGGAAGGATCATTTTGGGTCAATTTGGGTCAAGACATGATTTGGGGTTGGGCTCATCCACCAAGAAAGGTTTGGATGTTGAGGAAAATCAGGTGGTTCAGTTGGGTTAGCATGGTGAAGTCCCCATCCAAGTGGATTAGGGCTAATGGTGTGCTTAAGTGAGTCATGTGAGTGGTTAATCATGTGTGAGGGGACCACTAAAAAGGTTCCTCCTTTTGCCCAAGATAGCATGGTAACATGAGCATGACTCATGTGGCTTGCATGTGGCTTGGAGATGGCTTCATGGCTTGTCCTTGGCTTGACTAATTTTCATGAGAAGGGATTTTGGATTTATGTGATATTTTTGGTGAAGTTTGTCATAATGCTTCATTTGGAATGATTTGATTATGGATTTAGAACTTAGGGAGTGATTTTGATCAAATGGATGATGAGGAAAATCATCATATGGGCTTTTGATTGAAATTAGGCTTCTTTAATGACTTAAAGACTTGGGCTTTTAAAATAGAAATTGAATTGGATCCAAATTTGGGCCAACCAAATGTTCAATTTAATGTAGGAAGAAATATGTCATGAAGGATTGGAAAGGATCCAAAGTGGTTTTGAATTGAATTGAAAGGTCAATTTGGTGCGATTTAAACATATGGTTAAATTGTTTAGACATATGATCAAAATTGGGGCTTTTTTATTTAGGTTGGAATTGGGCTTGAAATTGGTTCAAATTGGGTTTGTATTTGGTTCCAATTGGTATTAGAAATGTTGAATTTTGGTTTGGAATTGAAATTGAGAAAGATTGGGGTCAATTGGGCCAACATTGGGGCTAATTTGGCGAAATTGGGCCTTTAAGGGCAATTTAGAGCTTAAGGTCAAAATGGGTCAAATTGGTCAAATTAAGTCAATGTGATTGTTCAAAATTGAATTGGGAATATTTGGGATGATTTTGGATTTTTTGAGAATTTTTGAAATTTTTGGCAATTTTGGGGGTATTTTGGAATTTTTGGCAATTTTGGGGGTATTTTGGGGATTTGGTGATTTCAGTGAGTTTTGGTCAATTTAGGTAGTGGTAAGTGATTTGAAATAAATTTTGGACAAATTTGGGTATTTTGGGTAAATTTGGGATTTTTTGCAAAAATTAGGGTTGTAGGGGTATTTTAGTCATTTGGTGATTTTGGGCTAAAATGGGCAAGTAAGTCATGAAGCTATGTCAAACCAATAGGCACCATATGATGATTCATTTTAGATGTTCAATATGTTGGTCCTAACCCTCTTAGCCAAGGACTAGGGATATAAGTCCACCCATATGAGCTCTCCAAAAGGAGTCAGGAGAGCAAATCAAGGGGTCCTAAAGTTTGGTGTGTGAGCAAGTGTGTGCAAGCTAACCTAGCCAAGGCCAGACCACTCAGGGTTAGTCCTAAGGTTTGATCATCCTATGGGAGACTCCCCTTGAATTCCTCCATACGGACCCCACCTACTAAGTGATAGACGTTATGACCAACATGTGAAACTCTGAGCAAAGAAGAGTTTAGAATTTCTAATGGTGAGGGTTCATTTTCTAATCCTCTAGGAATAGTCAACAGGAAAGTCATATGGCTAGACCCTAGGCTATTAAAGAGAAAAAGTTAGGCCTCAACCAAAAGTGAGGTCAACAACGTCCAAAACCTTAAGCAGGCACATTGCTGACTCAAATGAGGTGAGATGGTTGTTGGGATCCAACCTACCTCTATAAGCCTCAAACACTAAGAGCTTAACTTACAGTCTTCTCATTCCATGAATAAACGTTATGTGTTTTTACTGATCATTATTGTGCTATCTCTGCTCTTTTCATCCTTTTCGCACAATATTCCATAGGTGTGTCTCTCGAACAGATTTGGATTCAATATCTTAAAAAGTGCAGCAAGCGTGGAGGCATGTCATTGAGAAGAAGAGTAGCACAACAAAAACAAGAAAAAGAAAATCACCAAAGAGACAACCAACGCAGAATGTACTAGAGAATTCACGAAAAAGTTTGTGCTAAGGGAAATACAAGAGTTAAGAACCCAAATAGTGAACCAAGTTTCATGTCATATCGTAAAGGTCCTGAGGGCTATCATGGCTCTAGGAGGTGAGCGAGCTTCTTGAGGGCAGAACGCTCCTTGAAAAACAGTGTGACACAACGGTAGAAGGTTGAACCATGACCCAGAAAGGGTCACGGATTTGTAGTACCATGATAGTGTTGGATCTAAGCGATTCAGGCGCAATGAAGACCCACACCAGCCAGACAACCCCTTCTCCCTTCAAATCTCAGTGGTCAAGTCTCTCGAGAAGTTACCCCTAATAAAGTAGGTACGATATGGGGCATTTTATGTAATACATAGCTATAAAGTCATGAGCCTGAAAAGTCGTCCGACCGATTTATGATCAGGGCGGCCATGGTCGAAGGGTTGATCCGAAGACGTTGGTTGCCTGTGTAATATCCGGCCTGGATAAGGGGTCCTGTTGGATTGTCCCTGTGAAGTCTATCTAGGTGACCTTATGGGAGGTCCAGCATGGGTTAGCTTCTCCCAGCTATCAAGAGCCAGGTAGAGAAATCCAGACTTTCGCACTGCCTTGGTGGCTCCAACTCACCACATCATCTTCTATACTAGCTGCTGGATTTATTTGAGACTCGGACACGTTTTTTATTTACACTTCTATATTTTGAATATATATTTTATATGAATATGATTGAAATCCAAACCTCAACACCCTGCTAACGGCCACTCACCGAAATATACCATCATATGTCAATGATTTAACTACCTTTACTCTTCTTCTTCTTTTTTTTCTTCTCTTTTTTTGTATGAAATTTTCTGGCAGAAAAAAATACAGCCATTTTAGCATCCCATGAGACATGTATTGAAATTTAAGGTTTTGATGAATTCAACTTGAAAATATTCAGCTGATTTTTATTTATTTATTTACTTTATCTTATTTTAATATAACAAATTCCGATCTTCCCTTCATTTTTGGAAATTATTTAATTACATTCTGAGGTAGAAAAAAATTCAACTGCAAAATTTGAACAGATTTAGTCGCAAACAAGCACCCCACATACACAAAATTTTGAACTTCATTGATTGAAAGATTGCCTCAACCAACAAACTAAGATGTCCACACAATACTTTCTTCTCTATCTCGGCTTATACATCCTTTAAAAAAGCAAATTATTGTCATAAATTTCATAAAACTATATTATTACATAATAATTAAAATGAGGAAATTCAACAATCTAATAATAAAAAAATATTTATTTATTTTTATCATTCGATCATATAAAAAATTATTTAAGGGAAATTAAAAAAATAATTATAATTCTAAAAAAAAAATCAGCCTAAAAATTAAAATAATTATGAAATAATTCACCAAGGCCGAATTACCCTTCTTTTTGTGCTTACATCATCATTCAATGTTCATCTAGTAAAATATTTATCCTATTTTCCGTAGATTAAATAAAAAAACTCCGTATAAAATAAGTAATTATAGATATAGAAGCAAATATAATTTAAACATTCAAATATTACAATCATATAAGCAAAGAGACATGAATTATGAGGCTCTGCACCAAAGGAGTCAGGTATTTACTTACAGTAGAGAAAATCAATCTGCTTTCTTCAGATTCAAACAGTTGTCTGAAGCTTGACAAAACAAAGCCTGAACCAGTTTCAGTTCCTGCTCTGAAAAACAGTTGAAATCACCAAATTTGTTTACATATATAGGAGGATTTGAGTAAAGTAGTGCCAATATGGTCCCAAAAACTATTTTTATGGAGCCATTTCAGTCCCAAGAGTACATATAAAGTATCAAATTAATCCGCCGATTCTTTTAATATACTCTAAACTTAATCCCCATAGAGTAATATTCTAGCCCCCATTAAAAAAATATGATGACTAATTTGACACTTCTATAAACTCTAGGACTAAGGGGTCATTTTAACACTTTTCTCACGAGGACATGCACACATACCACTCAATTCCTATATATTTACATAGATAACACTTAAATTTCAATTTTTACATGAATGTCACCTTAACCATACATGAGAAGGTGCATTTCATTTCTTTAAAGTAAAGTGTCCTTTTTTTTTTATGGGTGAGATATCAAAGGTTTGGGTGGGCATAAATGCAAAAAAAAAGGTATAATTTAAGTGTTGCATATGTAAATACATAGGAATTGGGTGGAATGTCTGCAAATGTCCCTGTTTAGACTGAAAAATAAATACCTGCAGCCTCGAGCTGTTTCTGAAGTTCAAGTCCTACTACTTCATTCTCAGCCTGGAACAAGTTAGGAACTTCAAATCAGAAATAATTCTCTAAAACTAAAATATGATTTTTTTTAAAGTCAGCGAAATATTCTCATCATTTACTAGTTCTGCTTTCGCTGTTTCTGAAGTTCAAGTCCTACTACTTCATTCTCAGCCTGGAACAAGTTAGGAACTTCAAATCAGAAATAATTCTCTCTAAAACTAAAATATGATTTTTTTTTTAAGTCAGCGAAATATTCTCATCATTTATTAGTTCTGCTTTTGAATATGGCTAATTTCAGAGATGGCGTCAGTACTACACACCTGGAGCTCAGCTATTCTCTTCACCTGTGCCTCTTCGCCGCCTTCCAAAGGCAGGGCAGCAATAAGAGCATCAAACTGTAAATCACAAGCATTCCGATCTGTCAGATCTTCCATTTAATGAGACATGTAAATGTTACAATAAAAATCTAACCAAATAAAAGGAAGATTTACATGCATACCACACAATTCCTATATATTTACATAACGAAAGCCTAAATTTAAATTCTTACATACATACTACCTTACCTATGCATGCAAGTGTGTATTTCATTTTATAAAAGTTAAAGTAATGATATTTTAAAATTTTTATGTGTTAGATATATAAAAACATCGGAATTTATATGTTATAAATGTCTAAAAAACAGCGAAAAAAAAAAAACTCCAAATAGTAAATTCTAAACAAGGGTTAAAATGTTGGTTCGAGCTAATTAATGCTGGACTAGAATTGAAAATTCTGATTTAGGATTGTGAAAACAATCATCGGTTCTGAGCCGGCCTTTTACTTCGCCTAATAAGCCAAGCCTAACATGTTTAAAAAAAATGTAAATTTCTATTAATGCAGCATGCATATTCCAAACAATAAAGTTGAAGATTTTCTTAGGTATTTATAGTTATATGACCAACTTTCTCTTTTTACAAATAGAACTATCTTTTTTTCGCCCTCAATGAGTTTAAGGTCATAACCTTCAAATGAGAAGTCAAATTATATCAAATCTCTCCACCTATTTAGAGTGCCGGGAGAGCCAAAGGGAGTGCGACATGCGAGCTGGGCCAAATTAGACCGCCCTTGACCGGCCATATCCAGCAAACCGACCCAACATAGAGGGGTGGGATACCTAAGAGAGCCCGACCGTGATTAAAACGCCCTGGTGGGATCCACATAGCCACTAATCACGTACAAGAGGAGGAAAATCAAAGAAGACTTTTGGGGAAAATTTTTGAAATAGGATCCTGGAGAGTATTTATGCAAGTTAATTGTCTAGAATTTGTTTTTATGTTTTATTTAGCTACAGTTTTTCTTTTATCTTGGTATTCTTAACGGCATCTAGGATTTGTAGAGAGATGATCTACCTCTCAAAAAGTAGATCAATGGTGTATCTTATTTACTTTCATAGGCATTAGTAAAATCATGCCATATTTGAGTTCCTCCATCTCACTAATGCAATTTATTCGCAATTTGTTCGTTGTTTTTTGTTCTAGTTTGTATCAAAATGGTATCAGAACAAGATCTTAGAGTGATGACAACAAAGAAAGTGAATGTGTTGGAAGGAGAAGTATGGCAAATCAAATTAGGAATGGATGACAGGCTCGCCGTCATAGAGGATAAGTGTTCTTCCATAGAGAATAAATGGAGGATCGATTCGGGAGCATGGAGGAAATGATGAAGAGGCTCAAGAGCATGGAGGAAATGATGAAGAGGCCCTTGAAAATGCAATCCAAGTCCCCGCTGATGGTTCAAATTGCAAACCCTAACTAAGGATTAATCAGAGAATCATTGGACAAATTGAAAGAGGAGATCAAACGAAAGGGCGACGAGGGGGAAATCATCTATCACCAAGAGCATCCCCTTAGGACTTTGAAAAGAGGGTGGTGAAAACTTACGAGGGAGTGGGATGGATTAAAAATTGGAGGGGTGCTGCAAGAGGTACGGAGGAGCACGACGAAGGAAGGAGAGAAGCAGAAGGGGGTATGGCTATGACCAAAAGAGAGAGTTCCAACCTAGTCACGTGGTGGAAAACGTCAGAGGGAGAGGAAGTTGGGGTGGCGATGTTAGGGTAAGGAAACTGAAGATGTCGATCTTCGGAGGGAAAGATGCACATGAGTGGGTGTATCGGGTGGAGCGATACTTTGCAGTAAATGAGTTAACTGAATAAGAGAAACTCATGGTGGATAATTTTGTTTGGAGGAAAAGGGGCTAGCATAGCTTCTGTGAATGTAGGTGAGGTAAAAGATACATTTGTGGGAATAGTTTGAGGATTGCTTGTCGAAGCGTTTTCAAGATTTCAAGAAAGGAGACTTACATGAGCAATTTTATACTCTTACTCAGAAGGGGACGGTCACAGGATACAAGGAGAAATTTGAGCTCTTGTCGGGGAGACTGAGGGGGATTCTATAGCAATACTGGAGAGGAACTTCTTGAAGAGTCTAAAGCCCGACATCCGAGCAACTCTCCAGCTTTTGAGACTGAGGGGATTGAGGGAGATGATGTAGCTCGCCCAAATGATGGAAGACATGAAATAGGTGAAAAAGACGAACAAAAATAGCACCGCGGGGGGATTCTAAAAGAGTGCCTCAATGGCCATGACACCGAGGACTCAAACGGTATCGTTTTGGAAAAAGATGCCAAAGGAGAAGAATGTGGGTACTTATTCAAGAAGCAATTCAAGCGCTTCATTGAAACACAAGTGCAGGATAAAAAAGCGACAAGATTATGTTTTCGATGTAACGCAAATTTGCCCCGGGGAACCGTTGCAAGGAGTGCGCTACAGGTCAGATGGTGAGAATTCAAAGGAAGACACTGTGGAGGAAGAGAAGCAGTTATACTTGGATGTTGCGGAGGTATCCCTCAATTCATTGGCGGGATTCACTCTTAATAACACTATGAAGGTGAGGGGATGAATCGGGGAGCAATCGATTATGGTTTTAGTGGATGGTGGAGCCACACAATTTCATCTCAAATCAAATCGTGGATTGGCTAGAGTTGGAACTGGTAGATACTATTAGCTCTGGTGTCATGATGGGGATAGGGAATGTGGAGAAAAGTCGGGAAATTTGCAAGGGAGTAGCTCTGAAACTACAGGGCTTATAGGTGTTAGAGGACTTCCTTCCCATGGACTTGCGTAGCACTGATGTGATTTTAGGGATGAAGTGGTTGTAAACAATAGGGGAGAAGGTGGATTGGAGATCCCTGACAAGTTGAAGGTGGATTGGAGATCCCTGACAAGTTGAAGGTGGAGGGTAGGAACTAGGAAGGTTGTGCTGAGGGGTGATGCTAGCCTATGCAAAATCATGATTTTGCTCAAAAACATGGTCAAGGCGATACGGGGAGCAGGATTAGGCTATCTGGTAGAGTTGCAAAGCATGGAGGAGATTTGAGATCCCGAGTCAGAAGAGTTTCCCGAGGAAGCTCAGCAGCTCCTACAGCAGTAGAGCGAATTACGCTATCGAGGTAGCACTAGCATGTCTTTAAACCTAAAAGAGGATGTCCATACTATCAGTGCAGACTACAACAATATCTTCAGATTCAGATGATGAGATAGAAACCTTAATCCAACAGATGCTCAAAGCTGAAATTATTAGGCGAGTGTGAGCCCCTTTCCAAGTATATTCCTAATGGTGAAGAAAAAATATGGTAGCGAGAGATTTTACGCGGACCAACGAGTTTTGAACAAGAAGATTGTGTTGGATATGTTTTCTATCTTTGTGATTGAACAAGAAGAATGAGTTGGGATACCACTATATCAGGATGAATCTAACGAATGCGCAAAAGACAAAGTTCGGGATACATGAAGGACATTGCAAGTTCTTGGTAATGTTGTTTGACCTCACCAATGCTCAGACCACATTTTAGTCCTTCATAAATAGTAGTTTTCAGTCTTAACTCGGAAATTCGTACTGGTCTTATTCGATGACATTATGATCTACAGTTAAATAGAGACAGCATGTAGGACACCTGAGAGCAGTCCTAGAGACGTTGAGAGAGCACCATTTGTACGTTAATTTGAAGAAAGTTTACTTTGCACAGCTACAAGTGAAGTACCTAGGGCATATGGTGACCTAGGCAGGAGTAGCAACAGACTCATCCAAGATCAAGGCTATGATGGATTGACCTTTAATCATGAGTTTGGAGGAGTTGAGGGGATCACTAGGTCTCACCAGATACTACTAAAAATTTTTGAAGGGGTACGACACAATAAAATGGTCACTGACGGAGCAGCTGAAAGATAATTTCAAGTGGGGGAAGCAGCAACACGGGCCTTCGAATATCTGAAGAGACTCATGACTAATGTATCGGTATTAGCACTTCCAAATATCAGTAGGTCATTTGTGGTTGAAACAGATGTATCAGAGTATAGATTGGGAGCGGGAGCAGTACTCATACAGGACAAACAGTCAATTGCCTTCTTCAAGCAGGTGCTCACAACTAGGACGAGGCTCAAGTCGGTGTACGAGTGAGAGTTTATGGCTATTGTCTTGGCCATTCATAAGTGGTGGACCTACTTGTGGGGACGAGACTTCCTCGTCAAGACAGATCAGAGATGCTTAAAGTATATTTTGGAGTAGAGGATGGTGATTAAGGAACATCAAAGGTGGCTATCCATGTTATTGGGATATGATTTTTGGATTCAGTACCGGACAGGATTTGAGAAGACACAAACGACATGTTAAGAAAGGTGGAGGAGCTCTAGCTGACAACCTTATAGGTAACCTTGGTCTTAGATTGGGAAGCCCTGAGAGCGAGTAAGATGAAGGGCTAAGAAATATACAGACAGAGTTGCTACAGGAACAGTCATCCAGAATTTGCATTGAGGGGGCAGCAACTACTGTAACAGGAACAGTTAGCATTGCCAAGGGCATTAGAGTACATCCCCAAACTATTGCAACAGTTTTGTGACAGTGCAATTAGACAACACTCGACTATCGACAGAATTTTAATGGGTGGGATGCATAGAGACATAGAGAACATGGTGGCACGGCGAGATGTGTGCCAACGACACAAATATTTGATCATGACACTAGGAGAGTTGGTAAACCCTTAGCTTTACTGGAGAAGGTTGAGAAGAAGTGATGATAGATTTTATAGAATGGTTACCACGATCAGAATATTTTATAGCGATCTTGGTAGCATTAAATTTCCTGAGCAAGTATTGTACATTTTAATACATTTATACAGCCCTACACTACGGACTCACTTGTTATGATTTCATATACAAGTGGTCCATTTGCACGGAGTGCTAGAATCTATTATATCAAACTGAGACAAGGTGTTCCTCAGTCAGTTCTGGAAGAAGTTGTTTATGTTAAAAGGAATAGTCCTTAAGAGAAGCACAATATATCATCCTCCGACCAATGGC